CATCACATTAACATAATTGTCAAATTGAGATTCATATCGTGAATCGAAATCATAAATTTGAGAATCGTGAATCGTATCGAATCGTGAATCATAAGTTTCGACACAAAATTTGAACAAAAATAAAAAATATTATCTACATATTTAAAATAGTCAAGAATGCACAGATTTAGAGATGTTCATTGTGCTAAAGAGCAGTAGTAGTTCTTTGTAATCTATGAAGCACGAAAGCGAGATACGGATATGGCGATACGACAAAACTTAAAAAAAAGATACGGAAACGACTAAGATACGTCTATAAAATATATATTTTTAAAATTTTATTATTATATTTAATATAATTATTATAATTTATAAAATGAATCACACATCTATCAAAGATATATAATAATAACTAACCATTATATCATTCAAAAATCATATATTCATAAATTTTCTTTATTTTTTTTTTTCTAAATAAGGGTCCAAACATATTTTCTTTGGTGCTCCTATTCTTTTTAAAAAATTCTAGTAATATTTCGCCGTATCCCTATCATATCCTAAAGTTTTCAATATTTTAATTTTTTTTTTTTAAATTTTAGGATACTTTCCAGCCTTATCGGATACTTATTTGAACGTATCGGACGCATATCCATATATGGAAAGTATCCGATACCGATATTTTGACCCTTTTGAAGTATCCGTGCTTCATAAGTTGTAATGGAGGCTCTTGTTCCTTGATCTGTGTATTGCTTGAGGAAGAAGCCAAGTATAAGAGGGTTTCTCTTGTTTAGGGAAGTGCCTAGGCTTTCCCTTTGTTACATTAATCATTGCTTTTATAATTGATTTGTTAGGGAATTCATCATTGTAAATTTCTTAAGGTTGGAAGGCCTTAGTTTGTTTTCTAAGCAACTTAAGGCTTAAAAGCCTGAGCTCATTATTTGGATTGTGTAATCTAGCATTCCAGCGTTGACTTACCGTCCATTCTTATGAGGATGTATGCCTGTGATCATGCTTGTTGTTTCCAATTGAATTATTGAGTTTAAGCTGAGTGTGCTTACTACCTTAGATTAAACAATCTAATGCACCAAAATGAGTTAATGAGTTCTTAGGCTGAAGAACCAGTGTATGTGTTTCGTATACTCCTTTGAGTTCGTATGATAAGATATGTTGGAATGGAAACTTAGAAATATCCTTAAAAAGGGAGCTCGTTTTTTCAAATATAAATAGGCTTCCCTGAGTAGGAAGCTATTCGACATCTTTTAGTGAAAAGGTACAAAGAACAAACCTGGATCGACTACTGGTAATATTTCTTAAGATGTTTCACATTCTATTAGTGATCTAGAATGTGGTAATATTTCCTAAGATGTTTCGCATTCCAAGAGTGAGTTAGAGTGCGCCCATCCTCGGTCCGCAACTCACAGTTTCTAGGTCTGACCACTATTTTGACTAGGTATAGTCCTTTCCAATTTGGTTCCAACTTTCTACGTCATTAACATAGTTGTTAAATTGAGATTCATATAATGAATCGGAATTCTAAATTTTAGATTCGTGAATTATAAGTTTCGACTTAAATTTGAACAAAAAAAAAATAATATCTATATATTTAAAATAGGCAAGAATGCTCAAATTTAGAGTGGTTCATTGTGCTGAAAAGCTGTAGTAGTTCGTTGTAATGAAGACTTTTATTCCTTGATTTGTGCATTGCTTGAGGAAGAAGCCGAGTACAAGAGGGTTTCTCTTGCTTAGGGCAGTGTCTAGGCTTTCCCTTTGTTACAGTAATCATTGCTTTTATAACTGATTTGTTAGAGAATATTTGGCTATTAGGAGGCCTAGCCTAAAGTATGATGTGACCTTCTATTACGTGTATGATTTTGGGTGATTTGTAAAATAAAATAAGGATAGAATTGAGGGAGAAAACCGCTTCGGGGGGGAGGGGTGGTGGAAATCTCCGATGGTTCAATTTGAGAAGAACCTAATCTTCAAAACTTCACAAGAAAGTTTATCATAATATTCAACATTCCATTTTCATTGATCCAAGAGCCTTTAAATACAAAGATGACCACAATGCTCATCAAGATGCTTGCTCAAGAAATGTCTTAGTTTTGATCCTCTAGCTTCAAATCTAGACTAACATTTCATGTATTGATCCGGATATCGTCCCGCCCTCCCTTTCTTCCCTTTTCAGGAGTTTCATCGGATCTCAGTCAAGTCCAATCCAGTTAGCAGTGGGAAGCGTCCTAGAGCAGACTAAGCCATCCAAGCCCTGCCCAGGCCAAGATTGACAATTGCCCTCATTTATTTGCACGACCCTATTCTCCCTTTAGGAGTGTCATGATTTCTTCTTTTGAAGGATGGACTTCTCGTGGTCGATTGAGCAATGAAATAAGATTGGTGGACTTTACCTCTTTAGGCATTTAGTAGGTTTCTTGTGCTCTCCATGGGTCTTATCGCAGGTATCTGTTTCTGGATCTCTACTTTATGGAAACAATATTATCTCAGGTGTCATTATTCCTACTTCTGCAGTTATCGGTTTTCACTTTTACCCAATCTGAGAAGCGGCATCCGTTGATGAATGGTTATACAATGGTGGTCTTTTTATTGTCTGAATATTCAGGAGCTAAGACCATTCCAATGCCCCCTTTCGCCATGCATAAACTGAACCAACAATTAAAATAAGCACAAAATTAAAGCTTCTATAAATACAGATACGCCCAATACATCAGAACTCATTGCCCATGGATAAAAAAAAACTGTGCATCAAGCTGTTCGCAACTTGATCCTCTTCCCTAGGGATCCTAGATGAGGGAACCCTAGGAGAGCTGCCGACCCGAACTATCGTCCATGTACGATCCACACTAGATTTGGACCAACTGGCCATCCTACCCATTAGATCTTTTTGAAGAAGGTTTTGTTACAAATATGTTTACTTCAATTGTGGGTAATGTATTTGGGTTCAAAGCCCTGCGTGCTATACGTCTGGAAGATAGAAGTATGCTATGCTAATGTGCCTCGGATGATCCACATCTTAGGGTCAGGCGCAAATGACACATTGAACTATCCATGTGGCTGAGAGCCCTCACAGCCCAAGCACAACAACGCAATTATCAGGGGCGCACTCTATCATTGAACTAATAGGCCGTCGTGCGAGCCTCCCACTGGGGGCCCGTTATGCCAAAAGCGAGAGAAATCCCATCCCTCTCTTTCCTTTTTTTGCCCTCATGTTGCCACATGGTGGGACATGGGGACTAAAAAAAGGGGATTCAGTCAACTTGTTCCGATCTAGGATAATAAGCTCATGAGCTTGGTCTTACTTCACCGTCAAGAAACGAAAGAAGACTTCCATCTCTAAGTTTCATTCAGACGTAGCTCTTTTCTTTTTGGGTGTGCATCATTGTCAAACCAAAATACCCAACAAGCATTAGTTCTCCCTGAAAAGGAGGTGATCCAGCCGCACCTTCCAGTACGATTACCTTGTTACGACTTCACTCTAGTCACTAGCCCTACCTTCGGCATCCCCCTCCTTGCGGTTAAGGTGACAACTTCGGGCATGACCAGCTCCCATTGTGTGACAGGCGGTGTGTACAAGGCCTGAGAACGAATTCATCGCCATATGGCTGACTGGCAATTACTAGCGATTCTGGCTTCATGCTGCTGAGTTGTAGCCAGCAATCCGAATTGTGGATAGGTTTTTGGAGTTAGCTCACCTTTGTGGTATTGTGACCCTTTGTCCCGGCCATTGTAGCACGTGTGTTGCCCAGGGCATAAGGGGCATGATGACTTGACGTTATCCCACTTTCCTCTGGCTTATCACAAGCAGTTTGTTTAGGGTTCCAAACTCAAGGGGCTTGCTTTCTTGGGAAAGGGGTCAGATTTTGTCATCCTGGGTTTCTCTAAAGCATTTTGTGGTGGTGTGCCTTTTTCGAGGTCGAGTTGCCCTTTTTCTTCTCCATTGTGATGGAAGGCAGACTATTGTCGTGCCATCTTGTCCCTCTAATGCTGATGTCATCACTTTCGAGGGAATGGATTTTGTGATCTGCAGGAGAGGTGTCCTTGCCATGTCGTGTTGTGCATTGAATGTTGTGATGCCACCTGTCAACGGAGGGACATCATATTATATGGGATACTTCATTCACTAAATCCTCTAGTATTTGATGTTTTTAATTTTCATTGAAAAATGTCGCTCCTCAGTGCAATCTCTCTCCCATGTTTTTTGGCCACAAGAATAAATGGAAAAGCATTATCTCCATCATATTTACTACAAAGAAATTTGGCTAGACACATTTCATGTTTTCATCTTGATAGCCTCTTACATCTACTCAAACCTGTTTGCATGAGTATATGGTATGTTAAACAGAAAATCTCTCTGGATGCTTAGAAGCTACTAGGTTATAGAAGTGGTATCTTTATACGACGGTGTTTATAATCTCTCATTTTTTCTCCCTATGGTTCGAAGTTAGAAATTCTCCTAATTCAGTTTTTTAAATAGTTAATGCCTCTTATTACCGAACAATTTACCCTTTTTTTTTAACTCCACAAGAAATTATTTCGAACCAGGAAAATATATGTTCAGCAATTGCTAATGTTAGGGCTTACTCACTTAACCTAAAAAAAAATAAAATGTTTAGGGCTTACTCTGAAAGTCTGAATTCCCCAGTAAGCAATTTGTGCTCCAACTAGCACAATGAGCAGGGGTATTTCCAAAGTAGAAGTAAGAAAGGGGGCAATCAGCACTCCCTAGGAAGTATTATAAGCAAAGCTACAGGAATACAATAAAGTGTTTAGAAGTCAGGCAGGAATTGAAGCATATAAATTTTAGGATAGACAATTACTTTTACAATGCACGATGGGTTGGTGAATCAATGCAGACAATGAATAATCTAATGATAATACTGATTATTGCTAATATAAAAAGAAAATAGGCTCCATTTATCTTAGAAGCTTGATTCTGGAAAGTGGATGAATGTTGTGTTTGAAGCAGAACATTTGTATATATAAGGCATTAGTAGTATTGAGAAAGCTGGATGGTAAGGTATATCAAAACAAACTAGCTGCATCCATAGAACACCACGGAGAATCAGTGTACAACTTCCTGGTTCCGAGTGAAGGGATTTCCTTGCCTCAAATGTAACTCATTGTTGCCATTCATCAGAGTGGTTTCCTCCATAGCCTCAATAATTTTTAGGTTTATCAAGTCTGTTTCCATTTCAGCTTAGGACAGTTGAATTTATCATGACTAGCTTACTGACATCTTTACTGCTGCAGTTCGTCTGATGGTGAACATGAATCATCAAATCATTCAAGGAGACACAAACAGCATGACAGGACTAAAAAGGTGGTTGTTTAAGAGTAATTGGTTATCATTAGATGGTTTGGTTGCCCCACTGTGTCATTTATTAACGTGCTCTTGGCCTTTTAGAAAAAGGATAAACAGAAAGGAAAGAGCCGTCGCCATAAACATCAGAAGCATATTGATAAAGAGGTAGGCCATTATCCTATCTGTAGCTTTCTTGCCTGCATATTAATATATGTTGTTTTCACTAGTTATTTAAGGGTTAGTTTTAATATCTGCAGTTTTGCCCGTGGTAATGGTTTATGCATCTTAGCAATTTTACTGGGCGTTTATAATTGTCACATTAAATTTTATTACATGAGGTGCTAATAGTAATTGCTGCCGTTTTCTGGAATGGCTCTTCGAAATTGGAGCTGGGGTCTGTGACATGATGGCTGGGCACTTGATTGGCTTGCCTGGATGTTGTTTCTGGCTCATGTTTGTCCTAACAATGGGAGTGGTATAGAAGCAGCAGCATGAGGGAAGTGGCAGCCCTGTGCAGCTTTCAAAGGTTCTTTCCTTGTACTTGGATACTTGGACTGGTTAAATTGCACTTCCATCTTTTTTTTTTTAATATTAGAAACCTATGATATCCGTGTTATCCAGTTTCTACAGCATGACCAAGATGATGGCGTTCGTCGCAGTGCTGTGTCTGGTAAAAAGGTGAGTCTGTTAACATCGTCAACAAAACGATGAACCACAATTTTTAAATTGGCTTTTTCGCACGCACTGTGAAATATTTAAAGATTATCATTTTGCACTTTCAAATATTAAATATTATATATTGCACCCTAAATGTATCAAAAGTGTTGCAATGTGTCCCTTTTGTTAACTTCTATTTTTTTTTTTGTGGTCAAAAGTCAGTCTATTGACACTGACGAAAAAACTAACGGAATGCTAACAAAATAGTTTTATTTTAACACTTCTAATACATTGAGGTACAATGTGAGAAATTTAATATTTGAGTGTGCAAAGTGAGAATCTTGAAAACTTTTAGGGTACAAAGTGCAATTTGCTCTTTCTAAATAGATGGTGGTCATCTGCAGATTGGTTATGAATTTTCTTGTTCATTTGTAGATTCTGTTGAAGCTCGATAAATCAAAGGAGGATAAGTTGGCAGAAAATAAACGAACCGAATTGTTGAAATTCTTAAATGCTAGTTATGATTGACTATCCGGAGCTTGGGTCCAAGTTGTTATAGTATGGGAGTGAATGAGGGAATTGAGAGTTCTGCATCTATATCCCTAAGATGCAAGTTCCTCTTCGTAGAGTTGCATTCATACATTATGTTATTAGCCAGTGAAGTGTAAAAGACTTGTTAGTTGTAACCTTCAACATTTATGAGGAGTTTGATCAGGTTTTCGTATTTTTGTAGTAGAATTTCGGGTCTTGGTGTTTCTGAGTTGAATATTTTTTCTGTTGTCACCGATTTTTGCAATGAAGTTTATCATCATTATGTAACTTAAAACTTAGGTTGAACTATCTTATATACACACGCACACTAGTGGGCAACTCGTGCGATGTGTGAAATTTATTATCTTTTCATATTATAACCTTACTACTAAACCTTTCATGACTGTAATATCTCTGGATAATTTTTATTAGCATTAAAATAATATTCATTTACATTTTAAATAATAAAAAAATATGATTGAAAGTTTAAATTTTGAAGTAGTTTTTTTTTTTTAAATATTACATAACTCAAAGGAAGCTTAAAAGTTAAAATTTAAATGCATATTATTTTATAGATAAGTGTGGGATGAGTGGGTCTCATTGAAAAAATTAATAGAACTAACTTATTTAAATGGATAATAGACATTTGAGATGTAATTTTTTTGGGTTTCATTGCATTGCTCATAAAAAAAATGTTGAGAATAGTTACAAAGGATAGACGTAATATTTTGATTGAAGTGAACTAATTAAATATTTTAAAATTCTAGTAAATTAACAATTAGGGAAGTCTTTTTAAGGACTCTTATCCCTAATTTGATTGTTTTATAGTATGGTAAGATATTAGCTAATGTATGTGTCGCGTCTTATGCCGATGTCTTTCATAGAGAGGGTAAAACCCTCTTTGAATCCATCCCTCTCCTCCCTTCATGAGAGACAAAGAAGATCATCGTCAGCTAAATGTCTGGTCCTTTTCCTTGGGGCACCAGCTTCTTCACCATATAGGCGAACAGGTTCTAGGTCTTTGGAATTTCTCATCTTCTATGTAAGGTGATAATGGAGATCAGTCCGCTTTAGCCTGTCTTGGTAGGACCTGGTCCTAGCAGAGTGACTAAGGGTCCTCGACCCCCCTAAACATCCAAACTCATCTAACAAGCTTAACATGTTGACATTTTCTTCTTCGATCTATTGGAATCAACCCTCCAATTGTTCCTCTATGAGTTCCACCAAATCACGGGCGAAGGGTGCACCATACTCACAACTTGAACTAGGACTACGACCAAGCCTCATGGGGGGTTTGTCCCTACCCCCCATGAGGCTTGGTACAATGTGTTGGAATTATCGCCTATAGTGGTTGGCATGCTCCTGACTAATGGCTTGGTCCTAGTTCAAGTTGTGAGAATGGCGCACTGACTTGGACACCGATACATCTAAGAGAGGATTGGTCTTCTTCTGGTGACATGGGTATTCGTCTGTATAGTCTTTTGATTGAGTGTTAACCATCATGCTGGCTACAGGGAAGTTCTTATATTTCTCACAAACGACGCCAAATTGTGCGGGTGATTTCTTGCACAATAGTGAGATAGTAGCACTTTCGAGGGTGGCTCTTAAGCTTGGGAATGACGAAAACCTATAGATCACAAAGAAGGGTTAGAAGGGAGGCCAAAGGTGTCTCCAACGATTCCCTTCCGACGCTTAAGTCAGTTTCTAAGGAGGGAAGAAGACAAAATGCCCAGTACTGGGTTGTGAGAGCATACCTTCTCTTCTCGTCGAAGAGTTCTATTTATACTTTCCTGGTGGGCGAGTACTTCTACCAAGAATATTTGTACGATCCCCATTGGCAGGAGGCCCCCTAACTAGCTCACCCCTGAGACAGTAGGGATGCTTCTCTTACCTTGTTAGGCAGCTGGGCATTGAGCTAGGTACCTCTTTGACCTCAATCCTTGTTTCTTTACCTATATGTCAATCTGGCGAGTAATAATGACATTAATCCTTCGACATCCAAGTCCTTGCTTATCACTAGGACTAACATCAAACATTCACTATGCGATATGATGTCAGGCAACACGTTTCTACAAAAATAAATATGTGACATTGACCTTCACTTCTCTTTATAGCCCTTTTACGCTTACGAATGCCTACATTCCTTTGATTGCTTGTTGTACTCCTTCTACAATATTCGTTTGTCTTTGCACTTCATTCCTGAATCAACTATAGGTCTTTTCTTTGCTAGCTTGAGTCCGCATGATTTATCTTTCTTATTATAAGCACCAAATCCCTTCTTCTTGTCTCTAGTAAATGAGAAGAGAATAAGTCTTTTACTATGACAACGAACAAATACCAAGTTGAGTGAAATGTGACCCTTAAAAGACTTCCTAGCTGTTGGGCACCGAAGGATTAAAGTTCTCTTTCCCTTACTTCCTGAGCATTAAACACCTCTGGGTTATTTGTTATATGCTCATAAGGAGCATTTATTGCATCCTTAAGGGCCTCCCCCATGATTGGTTTTAGTGTACTATCCTGGTAGATCTGACAACATGGGATAAAGGACCCATGCAATTTGACAATTGAGTACAACTCCTTGTAAGACATTCCTTCATTTAGTCCTAAGTGGGGCATTCCCAATGCAGAGCTAGTTGTTTTACATTGCGCCAACTAATGTGGTCAACATGTAAGATCAATCATTTCTTAGGCCCCTTATCCTGTTCTCTTGGTCTCAATAATCTTCAGTTTGAACTGAGAAGATCCATCATCGGCATTCATGGTAACGTCGAGGAGATCCTAGTGCATTTCCTATGCCGATGCCAAGGATAGCATCACTCAACATGAGATTCCCAAAAGCCATTCATCGGCATTCATGGCAACGCCGAGGAAATCCTAGTGGTCATCTCCCATGACGATGCACCAAGGCCAAGCATGTCATATCACGAGAATCATTACTTCTATAATTATTAACAGAATGCACCACGTGTCTACTTCTGGTTGGTCATACAGACCACAACCTGTCAGAGATGCTATAGGAATCAGGTTGAGAAGAATTAAGGAAAGAACCTCAAAAGATTATACAATCTCGACGTCATGAAACTTTCTTCTTATGCTAATCTCGACACTATATTCACCCAAATAGGTTTGGTTCTCCTTCTATGTGTGCATGTGTGTTTTACTATAAAATATTGCTACGCATTGCATTTTTAGAATTAGGATTACCAACTTAGGTAGTGAAATTTCCATTAGTTTTATGAATTACGGATATCCCTGATTTGAACCCAATTCCACTGGCTCTCTCTCCCAAATAAGTATGCCTATATATACGCATTTACTTTTCTGTCTATTAAACCCAAATTTAATATTAAAGGCAAGTACTTCCACTGAAAATTAATAATAGGTTGTAATTAGACAAAAAGTAGAAATATTTTTCTCATTAGCTACATTATTGTCGAGTTCAATTTGATTTGATTGGATTAAAATATGTATGAGAAATTAGACCTGGAACAATTATTTTAAGTGATGATCAAAATTGTGTATCCATGGTTTTTTGTCGAATATATAAGATCCCAATTGGAGTAATGTTTAGTTAAAATGTGTATACAAGATTCCATACAAAATGATCTGACATTCATCTAGCTTTCTTACTATACCACAATAATAAGTTGACGCCAAAAATGTGGAGAAGTAGAGAATCCGACAAGTACACACACAAGGAACAAGATAAACTCACCACTCTAAGGAAATGACCAAAGAGATACGTAGTCAAAGAACAAAAATATTTCTTCTTTTTAGAAAAGTATTGCTTCATTCATTCTCAAAATTTGATTTTCAAGCACACGGATTTAGAGCTTAAGTACTGATCTGGAACAACCCTCCAGAATAGGTGCATTTTCAAGAAAAAATACCAAGTTTCAAAGGAAAAAAAAAAAACAAAAGTCCTAAACTAGGAAAATGAAAAGACATAGTGTCATAGACCAACTTGACCAGTAACCACAAAAACATAATAGTGACCTGGGGACTTCAAAGATTAGTAAAATTCTAAGAAATCTTAAATTAAGAGGTGAAAAAACCACCCAAAACTTGGGTGAGACAACTTCAACAAAACCATCAGTCCAACAAAACACCCCTTAACTAATTTGACCATATCTCATAGAAAAGTCAAAATTGTGCCCCCTTTTTTTGTTAGAAACTAGGCTCATATAATTTTCCAATCATATATGACACACATAATGGAAATTCTTGAGTTGAATCAATTTTTCTCCAAAGTTAGTTAAAATTCGCACTCTATTGTTTCTGAGATAGCATAGTCTTATGCCCTATATATTGGACCTTAGAACACTTAACCTTAGGAAAATTTCGACCACCTTTTAGGCCTTGAACTAGGGATACTCCGATGTCATTCTCCTCGGATTAGAGACGACTTGCAATCAACTCTAACTCAACTTCACCCTCATGTTGTGGAGAGAGGTCTAAAAAATTGAAAGTTGTTGAGACACCATGATCACTTGATAGCTCAATTTTGTGTGCATTTTCCCCAATTTGTTGTAGCACCTTAAAAGGACCATTAGTTCTAGGCTTGAGTTTTCCATGGCACCCATGAGCGAATCTCTCTTTGCATAGATGAATCCACACCAAATAACTTTCTTTAAAATTTTTAGGCTTTCTATGCTTGTTTGAAAGTCGTTGATACTTACGATTATGCTTGATTATCTAGTCTCGAACTTGTAATGCAATTTCTTTACGTTCTTAGAATGTTCCTCAGCATCTCCACTATAGTGACGAGTGGTAGGAAACGCAGCCAAGTTCAATGGGCTAAAAGTATTTCGCCCATAAATCACTTGAAATGGACTACTCATGTAGTTCAACTAGTAGGACAGTTGTAGGAAAATTTAGCTTGAGCCAAAGTGACATCCCATTACCAAAGATTTTCACCAACTAAGCTCCTTAATAGATTCTGCAAACTCCGATCAACAGATGGATGTGTCATCTTCGAGTATCAATCAACCACCCCC